GAACAACTGACAAGCATTCAGTTGAAGTCACCAACTGCTTCTCTGTTCCTCACAATGAGTCTGAAGATGAGGTGAGACTAACAGCATCTCATTTCCCCGTTAAAGTACTATGAGGTATTCGTGGTGTACCATAGTATCTGTGGTATATGCCGTTTACCTGAATGATTACTTTACACTTACTAAACATTTCTAGAAATTATTTTTGGATATGTACTATCAAATTATTGGATGTACTTTGGAGTTCCACCTTGTAAATATCACGGGACATGAATTTCCAAAACATGATCCTTAAAAGAAAAAGTGAACAAGACACAAAAGTGACCTTATCCTTGCTTCCAATATCTATATCATAGGTGGCTGTTGACATGGAGTTCGCCAAGAACATGTACGAGCTCCATAAGAAGGTTTCGCCAAGTGAAGTCATTATTGGATGGTATGTGGCCACTTATGCTAAGGAATTCAAACAATTTAGTTTCTCAGATTAATTTCATAGTATAGATCATATAGTGAATTAAAACCATAAAATGCATTATTGTTACTTGAAATAAAAGAAACATTACATGAAATAAAAATTATTTCAGTTTTCAAGTGAATGTTTTCATTTTCATTTCGTAGAACTTGATGCACTAACATAACTCAAATTGAAATATGAATTTGTAAAAAGAATATAGACATAAAGAACTAATAGAATTGACAAAAAAAACTAAACTAGCTAAAACTTAAAATAAAATGGCAATAAAAAACAAATTCAAAATATTTAGCAAAACTGCAATAATGTCTCGATACGAAATAACACTTCAACAGTAGAAAGGCTTTAAGTATTTTGCCAGTCACTGTGGTGATACAGTTGTCTTAGTTCACCCAAAATCTACAATTTATTCCACCTCAGGCCATCCAAGATGTAGATTAATTAGTTTCTTCATTAGATTATATAATATTAGTTGCTCACTTAATGATCCTCTGCAGTGAATGGGTGCCGTCAGAATGAGAGTCCAAACAGCTGATAAAACATCACAGTAAACCACTCCAGTCCATCAATTAACATCTTGTGAAGTGAAAAGCTGTGTTTGTAATAACTCCATCATGATGGCATTTTAGCTTCAAATAGTAGCTTCCAACTAATATAAAGAGTCCTCTCTCTGTAATACTGTTTTCGCTGGTGAAAAGAGAAATATGCAAAACAGTTATAGACCAATATGTTGATGTATTTTGTTTCTTACAAAGAAGCAGCTTTCCACTTCACAAGATGTTAATTGATTGACTGGAGTCATGTGGATTACTTGTGGATTATTTGGATGTTAATATCTTCTGTTTAGACTCTCATTTTGATGGCACCCATTCACTGCAAAAAGTGATTTATTGCTAATTTTCACTAAATAGGTTCCAATGAAGAAACAAACTTATCTACATCTTGGATAGTCTGAGAGTGAATACATTTTCCTTTTTGGTGGATAATTTTTTTTTAAATGCAAACATAATGAGCACAATCTTTTGTTTTGCAGGTATGCCACAGGATATGACATCACAGAGCACTCTGTTCTGATCCACGAGTACTACAGCCGAGAGGCTCCGAGCCCCATTCACCTGACTGTGGACACGGCACTGCAGAGCAACAAAATGAACATCCGTGCCTATGTCAGGTAAGATCATCTAGACAAAGATGGATTATTTCTTGCTGCTCTCCTCTGCCGCACTAGCAGGGTTTATTTGTTGTTTGTGGTGTTAGTTCCCAGATGGGCGTTCCGGGCAAGACGGTTGGTGTCATGTTCACCCCATTGACAGTCAAGTACATTTACTATGACACAGAGCGCATTGGAGGTCAGACTTTTTTACACTTATAAACATTTTTGTGGATTATTCATTCTAAATTGAATGGCACTACTGGTTTACACTATTTTGGATTGGATTGTTACAGTTGCATATTTTAAGAATAGCATTTTCTTTTGGGCACATTCTTATAATGGATTGATCACCTCTTTCTATAGTTGACCTTCTACATAGGACTCGTGCATCTGCCAGCCGTACCAATGGACTGACCACAGACCTGGCCCAGGTGGCCAGTGCAGCAGGACGCGTACAAGAAATGCTGTCCACAGTGCTCTCTTATATAGAAGATGTACTGGTGAGTCTCTCTTTGGGACATAATATACATTTTTTTGGTGACCTATTTGGTTTCAGAGGTAATTTATCCAAATTTCTATCCAAAGAGTTGTTTTTTTCATACTTTATTAAAGGGTTAGTTCACTGCAAAATGAAAATTATGCTGCGTTTTACTCACCCTCGAAGCATCCTAGGTGTATATGACTTTCTTCTTTCAGATGAATCCAGTCGGAGTTATATTAAAAATAGTCTTTGATCTTTCAAGCTCTATCGTTTTACTCAGCGGGTGTTGCATTCCTGAAAGACGTGAAATAAAAAGCACCCTTCCACAAAAAAAAGTGTCTCTCACGGCTCCAGGGGGTGAACAAAGGTTTTTGTAAGAAAAATATCCATATTCAAAACGTAATAATCACTTGAATCTAGCTTGCGCTCACTGTTTTAAACGGAAGCAGTTCCGGGGGAATGACGCATGAGGTCAGCTTTGCGCATGCGCGGCTCAGAAGTGACGCACGCGGAGAGCTCAGAAACAAAACAACGGTCACTAGTTAGAAGTACAAAACGAGGATTTGTAAAGAAGAATGTCGGAGGATTTCGTTTGCATTTATCTGAATCATTTAATTAATTTAAGCATCTTTTGCCACCTTTACATTGCAGATGATGTTTTGTGTGTTGATCCTCGTTCACAGCTGATAGAATGAATCCCGTGATTAATGCAAAGTGTCTCTTTTTAAACTAAAGTCTAATTTTAATCATGCATAAAACTTTAAGACTATTCTTTTTCTGCTTTCTAAACACTAGTATTTCCTTCAGACAATGCAAATCTTATTTATGTAATTAATTGTTGAAATTTAAATGTATTTTTTGCATG